ACTAAGAGTTTTTGATCATTTGTTAAGCAACATTATTGTGGCAACTGTTAACTAATAGAGCCCAAAACACATGCAAAGTCTGTGCTGGGAACTGGAGATCCAAGTGTAAATGATACAGATTCAATTCATGTCCCCGTGCTGTGCAGTGTAGTATGGAAACAGAAGAATTAATGGAATACAATTTGGGGTGATCATTTAATAACTGAGGTATAAATGCGCAGAGAATTTAAAAAAGGAGTACCTTACCCAGACTGGGTCGATTTGGATAGGGGAAAGGATCAAGAAAATTTGCCTGAATTAATTGAATTTGGATCCAAGGAATAAAGAAAATATAACCAATTAGGTTGGTAGATAAGGGCAGAAAAGCATAACAGAAGGAGATGTATCATGTAGTCATCATATGACACGGACTAACCAGTTTGGCTGAAGTTTAGAGTGTGAGAGCAGCTGGCTAAAAAATAAAAAGAAGCCAGACCATGATGTGCCTTGTAAACCTGATAAGGAGCTAGGTTCTTATCCTAAAGCAAAGAAGCAGGGTGATTTTGGAGGGTGTTAAGTCACCTTGTAGAGTGTAGAGAACAATAGGGAAAAAAATTGGGAAAGAGAAATGTTGCAAAACCCTGGACAGAGATGACACTGTTCTGAACCAGGATGGTGGTAAAGGAAATAGAAAGATATATAGGAGGTAGACAAGTGTTGGGTGGTGCTGGGAGATGCACAATATTTGTCTAAGGTTTAATGCAATCCCTTCCACATAAGAGATAAGTAAATATTTATTGAATAAAAATGTATTCTTAAGACTGAACATCCATATCATATAATTGAGAGCATACGATGCATGATGAAACTGGACGAAATAAGACATCCTACTTATTAGATTACAAAAAAAAGTTAAAATTAAGAAAGAACATTTTTTCATATTAAATAATTTTTAAAGTTCCCTTTACCTGTGATGTGGCATAAATTCCCAAAAGAATTGTGAATTGTATCTCAATATACTATATCACAATACACAGCCTAGAAAATAGCTTCTGAAAACTGCCCCCTCAGATTTTTTAAAAATTTCACTTATCAAATTGTTCCTTCTTCATGACAACAATAATGAGAAGAATGAAGCAATTTAAATAAGATAAACATGGTGTGATCTTTTAAAATCTATTTTAAAATTATCTAGTTGTGGGTCATAGAAACATACTTTACTTGACTATGTTTAAAATCATTCTAAATTCTGAATTTTAAAAATTAGCCATGTATTCTAGTAATGGTAATTTATAATGTCTATCAAGCTTTTATTAGGCACTTAGCATGTCATGTAGAGCTTTCATTTAAGATTTAAAAAAATTGTGAGAATGATTCTGTTAGTCATTCTAATTTAGAGATGAGGAGTCAGAGGTTTACAAGGGGCAGTGTCTCATCTAAATACAGCCAATAGGTGGTGGAGTCTGAAATTAAGCTCAGGTTTCTCTAATTCCACAGTTTCTTTCCCTCTTAGCAACTATTCTAAATTGTAGACTATGTGTTCAGAAGTATTAAGTGATTCACATTAGGTATCTGATACCATTTAATGTCTTTTTAACATGTGGCAGAAATCTTTTTTAATAACCATGAAAGAGGATATGCATTTCCTTTGATACCTTTTGGAAAGACAGACTATATTAGCATATGTGGCAAAGCCAGAGATTTCAGGCAGACCAAACCCAGAGAGAGAATTTGTAGAAATTGAAAAACCTGAGTCATAAGTTGCATAGAAACAAGGTGATTTCAGCATCATTTTGTAAAACATATGACTTACTTTGAAAATACAGGCATTCTCAAAAGAGACCGTAACACCTACAGGCTATAGCTGAGTTATATAGTTTTTATATAGCTATAGCTGAAGTTATACTTCAAGGAGAAAGCATGTGCTGTTGCTTGGTGACATTTATAGAGTGTTCAGCCCTGGGGTGAGATTTCAGTTCTGCTGCACCAAGTTCCCAGATTCTGAGAACGTTTTGACCCTACTTTATTGTTTTCCAATAAAATCCTTGGGCCCTCAACCATTTTATTATCTAAATATAATTAAGAACATATTGGTGATGTCACATAGCTTTCTATTGATTTACATGGGATAACACTGAAGAAGCACCAGCTGCTCGATTTTGAGTTATTTTGCCAGTCATGGCTTTACATTTATCCCTGGAGAGAATTTGTGTGGAGTGTAATGGATACAGAAGAAAAGAAGAATGAACTCTTCTTGAAGACAGTATACATGTAAGGTCAATGAACAAAGTCAAGTGTGTTCTTTGGAAGAGGAATTATTCAATGTTGTAGAATGGCGGTGTAACTCTGTGTTTTGCAATACTGAAGACTCACCCCCTTTAAAGCCAGGTATCTTGAGCCAGCTCTTGCTTGTAGTAACACAACTTTAACATTCTTTAAAATAATTTTCTGGAACTGAGCTGTTTCAGAATAATGAGTTAACAGCAGAGTCTTGTTCAATTAGTAAAAACAGGATGGAAATTCCTTTAGAAATCAATGCCTTAAGGGTGCTTCCTAGAGTGTTTGTATGCATTGCTGTTAATTAAGAAATAAAAGAATGGTGTCAGATGTAAATCGACTATACACAATAGTCTTGGATTCATTGTAGAATTTCAAAATGACCATGCAATTCCTTCAATTACAGATTGCTAGGGAATTTTTTTTTTAATTTCATACCAATGGCTGGTATAAGTAGATAGTTTAACAAGCCAAAATATGAGGTTGAAATTAGTATCATTTAGGGCTACACTAAAATAACTAAAGAAAATCAACATTTACTGTATCCTTTTAAATTCTAATGCTTTTTCAAATTTCAACAGTAAGAATTCAGCATGTGATAAAGTTATCAACATAATTGTCAACTTAGTGATTATCACTGTGTGGTTTTTATTGTGACAATTGTACATTCCCAAAGGTTTCAATTTTACAGAAAGAAAGTCTGTGCTGTTGGAAACAAAAAGTTGTTTCATGTCACTTTTCTCTGGGTGCTAGAGGCACACGTGTGTATGAGAAAGAAAAAAAAGAGATGAGAGTAAGACGAAAAGTGAGCAGCAGAGTGAAGTTAGGCAAAATGACACTGCAAGAGAGCAACTGAACTAAACAAGAAATAAATTAGCAAAACAGAAGTTTGAAAGACAAGAAAGACAAAGAAGGGAGAAAATAAGCTTAAAGACGGGGAAAAGGAGAAAAATTTTAAACGTTGATTTTCCAGAGGTATACCTTGCTCATAGTATATAAGAACTTTGAAACTTAAGATATTTGAGCCTTCTAGAAAATAAAAGTAAAATTTAAACTCTGAAGTATTTGTGAAACAGAAATAATTACTTCTGGTATCAAATCACTTGCATTAGTATTTTCTATGTATTACTGTACAAAGTCAACTTCAAAATTCCCTTGAATATTGTAATAATTTAAATGCATTACATATTCACTCCGAGCAAAGTTAAAGACACCGATGATGTACACTTAGAATTTTCAACAGCTGGTTTCTTTTTTATTTAAAAAAAAGTGTTTTATGAGAAAAACAATCTATTAATATTAAATATTCAATTGGGGAAAATTGATCAATTGCAATTAATATAGACAAATAGCACCATACTGATCATAATGCTTTGTTCATATTTGATTATTCAATAAATTTGATTAGATGATAATAATTTTCCAATTGAATAAAAAATATGCATCCAATCTTTAACCTAGGCATAAAAAATATTCTCTCTGAAAGTAATTAAATTTTAAGAATTATACAGATTTGACTAAAACAATCAATCTATCTCATTCTTTGGGTATTTGGTGTCCTCCAGAACCCTAAAAGAAGCCGATTTAATTTGGTAAGAATTTTTACAAAGAAAGTTGCATAATTATTTGGCAAAGTTAAGTAAAACACAGTTATATGATCCTAGATCTAGTCTTCCCTGTCTCCAATTAAACTATAACCTTCTTAAAAGTGAGAATTAGATGTTATTTGCTCTAGCATACCCAACGTGTAGTACAATTTCTGGTACTCAGTAGGCACTTACTGAATGTTGAAAGAATTTGTTTTATAACTTGAGTCGGTTATTTTTTTAAAAGAAAAAACATCTACCACTTCTACTACCCACTTGAACTGCCAACTGCATTCCTGTGAACAGTGAAGGAAAATACCAAGGCTTAAAAATTTGCTCAAACTACAAACAACATAAAAATACTTAGTAAAATAGAAAAGAAATTATGAAGTGATACTGATTCCCTAAAATGGAATCTCCTCATTGGGTCTACTCCGGCCCAGTGAGATCAGCAGAAGCAAGGAGAAGATCTGAATAATAAAGAGGAGGGCAAGATACTCTATATGCTTGGAACTTGGTGCAAGCACACTTTCCATTTAAATGTTCCACAGGCTGTCCCACTGCAAACCATTGCAAGTTCAATGGGGTAGCCCATTTTGAGATTCTGTGCCTTCCAGAATATTAGATGGATGAATGTCCAGAGAATAGGAACTGTTTCTGCTTGTTTCTACCAGTCCTTATTTTCCTTCTTTTTCTATAGGCTCTGAACAAGTTGACCTTGTCTCATCATAACAGAAAGAAATGTCTGTATGGAAAACATTCTTACATGTAATCATTCTGTTCTTCTGGAATACCCACGCCTTGTAGAGTCTGACTCGACTCTGCTATTCAATTTTCAGTAAATATATTTATTTATTTATTTACATTCAAAGATAAAACCTTGTTGGGGAAAAATAATTTTACTTTTTTACAGATTCTCCTCCAAACAAAAATGGAATACTTATAAAGCAACAACTCCTTGTCATTTGCAAGTATAAAAATGTTTTGCCTTGATGGTCGTATATTTAGTTGTATACCTCTCCACCACCTGAGGAATATGCTATTGATTGTTCTGCACAAATAACAATGTTGCTATACTCTTAAATTCATTAATAGAAAAAGGGTTGTTGGCATTCTATCATGTTAATACATAAATTTTGGATAACCAGTAGGACTTACCTTGAAAAAAGTCATGGTTGCACCATCCTCTACCGTTCCATACTCTATCTTGGTTTGCTTAGCTAAATCATCAGCAGAGTCAATAGGGGATTCCATGCGCTCCACTGTCAGAAAGGCTGCTAAGTTAGCAGTATACGAAGAAATGATGATAAGTGTGAAAAACCACCAAATGCCTCCCACTATCCTGGTGGAGAGCGCTTTGGGCATGAGCTCAGAACCTAACAGAGATTGGGGGGAAAAGGTGAAACGAATACAGAGAATTTGATCAGCAGTCAGGTACTTTTGGTCATAGTGGCAGAATGGAATCACTGTGTAATAAAAGCTTAAATCACAGATTTATATATCTCTGTAGTAAGCAAGGAACAGCCACTGGGAGAGCAGAGGCTAATTTCAGATAATACGTAGTCTCTTAGGACATCTGAGTTTACATATAGTGACAGGAGACTCAAGTTCTACCTGAGACAGTGCAAAATAAGAATTACATATTAATGACTGGGTAACCTTTATAAAAATAGAATTAGAAGGGAGAAATCTCTCTCACTCTAGTTTATAAACCACTTTTATAGATTTTCATATCTTGTTAGTTATGTGGGTTTTAGAAGAAATGACTTAATGTACATTCCAATCCATTTCTTAACAAGCTTTATTTATGTAAAGTTTCATTTTTCATGCACATGAAGCCCAAAAGTCTTGTCTATACTGCCATTTAAAAAAGTAATGTTGTAGGAAAATAATTTTAATTAACCACATTTCTTGAGCTGTGGGGTTTTAGTCCAGTTTTTATTTTAAAATAGGTAGTAAATTATTTTCTTATGCATAAACAAATGTCTCCTATCACTATAGTTAGCCTCAATGAGGAAAATCAGAATAAGAATAGTTAAATTGCCATAAATTTATTTTTACACACATATAAAAATTTCATAATTATATTACAAAACATGGCTGGAGTTGCCTGCTCATGGTATTAATAAGAGAATGAGATCTGATAATTATATTTAGCTTTTGAGTATTATTAATTTTAATTAATTTAGGTTATAAAATAAAATTCTAACAATTTTTAAATTGAGTCCTTTGGTTTTACCACATTATTTGCAGTCTTAATATTGAAATGAACACATATCAGCATGTGTAACTTTTTTATAAAAAAAAGTATACTAAATTTATGGATATATATATTACTATTCACTTTTAATCATTTTGAACCTACAGTCAAGAAAGCACTGGCTACAAATTAATTTTAATAGGGTTTGAGTAAAATGGAATGAAGCAAAGATGGACTCCATTTGCTGTTTTGTTTAACATATTTTTTAATATAATAACGGATGCAGTAAGGTAACGCATCTTTAGAAGGAATGAAAAATACAACAAATTATTCATGTTAACATTGAAAAGAAGTGGTATCATGACTTGGCTCTATCAAAACAGCCCATCTTATACTGCAGTTCATCTCACCCTTCCAATTTCAAACAAACAAACAAACAAACAACATCTTAAAAAGCAGACAGACTTGGACATGACAGCCAACTCCAGCTCCAGACTCTGCCTACCACTCTGTAAGGAAAAAAAACAGAAAAGTACCTTTCTGACGTAGTTGCTCCTAGGCCCTGTCAGACACACACTCGGACACCAAAACACTAAAATATTCAATATTCCCAAGATGATCAGCAGCTATGGCTGCCCAGTCTATTTTTTTTTTTTTAACAACACCACCAATAAAGTCAAACAAGACTGGGAAAGAAAAAAAACAGTGGAGACATTCGACAAAAATGGCCCAATTACCACAAGTTCATATCTTACCCAAGGACTTAAACGAGTACCTCCTAGGCTTGTGAATCAGAGCCTGGTTAGGGGCTGACTGTCATGTACTCAAGGTAACGTCATGTCCAGCACTATATCCCACTAATTCCTGGGGAGCTGGGCATCAGCCAGAATAGTATGGGTTCCTCTTTCATGTATCCACCAGCAGTGAAGTAGTTATGTGGCAAAGCAAATGTATATTTGAATTTTTCATTGTTCAGATTGTCATCATTTTCAGAGATATCAGATATAGTCTTATTTCTAATTGCTAGATTGTATAGATATCAAGTTCATCTCACCAGTATACATATTCAAAAGTCTCCAAATATTTTATAAAATATAAGTAAAAAAGAATATTTTATTTTCCAAAGTGGTAGGAAAAATCATTTTAAAATCTTTATTATGGTCAGATCTTTATTATGAGAACAATTTGTTCCAGGCTATTAAGGTTAATTATTAGCCGGTGACTAGCAATTTGCCTGGGGGAATGGCATAACCCAGTGCTACTTATAAAAGATGCTTGTCTCATATGATAGATTTTTATTCACTTCTAAAATTTTAAAAGAACTCCAATATTATCTTCCAACTGTAAATAAATCTAAGGAAAAAAAAAAAAAACACTGGACCCAAAGTGTAGGAAAGGGCAAATACAACTACTGATTATTCATTTTATTTAGAAAGAGATGCCTCAAAATTAGATTAG